CAGCTGTGTCCTTGAAAAGTGCCGGAAAGAAGAAGTAGAGATTTCTTAAGATTACTAATCATTCAGTTTATTTTTGTAACAATTTACATAGAAACATGGTTGTTACTCTATATGCTCTGGAAATTTCAGAGCGTATAAACTGACTATGAAAAACAAAAATTCTAAATAAGTCACTAATGAGAAAAAAAAATAACCATATAAATCGCTTAAAAATAAATTCAATGGTCTCTATATTTTCATGATAAAAAAAAGTGATTTGTTGTTGTTATTTTTTTTTTTAATTTAGTTTTTCTAGTTATTTATTTTTTTTTGTTTTATCTAAAAGTAAATAATATTCGATACATATTTATATAAATATCGAAAAAACAAAAATAAAATCTAGAGAAAAACAGCTTTTCTTTCAAGAATATTCGGACGCATATCAGTTTTTCCTTCAGTTAATATTTCATGTCCAGTTGATGTTATTACAATTGTATGTTCAAATTGTGCACAACGTGAATTATCTATTGTACATACTTGTATATCATCATCACACATTTTAACACGACCATTACCATCTGTTAAAACAGGTTCAATAGCAAAAACCATACCTTCTTTCATAATCCATTTCATTTGTTTTTCATTTGAATCATAATAATGTAATATTTGTGGTTGTTCATGTAATTGTTCACCTAAACCATGTCCACATGCACTTTTAACTATTTTTAAACCACTACAATGTTTTATATATTCTTCACATGCACGACCAATAGCTGAAAATTCAATACCAGGTCGACATATAGCTATAGCACGATCACGACAACGACGTGCATGTGTTATAAGATAAAGTGCATCATTATCAATTGGACTTTTATTTTTATCATTTCCTGGTACAAGATATGTTTCTGAAACATCACCAAAAAAACCATTATAATAAACAGATACATCTAATTTAAGTATATCATTTTCTTTTAATGGTCGATCATTAGGTATACCATGTAATGCAATATTATTAACACTTGTACAACATGAGCGTGGAAAATTTTCATAATGAAGTGGTGCTGGATGACAACCAAGTGATATACATAATTCATGTACTAATCTATCAATTGTATCTGTTGTTATACCAGCTTGTATGGATTCAGATACAGTATCAATTATTGTACGAGCACGACGACATGCTGCACGTATACCTTCTAATTGCCATTGATTTTTAATAAGTATCGATGATTGATATGGTCCAGTAACTAAATTATAAATATGATTTGGTCGTGGAATTTCTTTTGGTACAATACGTGGAAGACTATTTGTTTTATATGCTCCACTTGTAATTATATCATAAGATTTTGTTGTTGTATTACGTGCTCTACGAAAAAGGTTACGAATTATAATTGGAGAAAAAATAAATTTTTTATGATTCATTTAGAGTTTGATCATTTATTTAAGAAATATATATATATACATATGCAGCATTAAGTTCAACTATTTCATCATAAATATATGATTGGTTAAATAAAGAACTTATTTCGATAGATATCACTATGAAACATTTGATTGTATTGGATAAAGAAGAAAATCGATAAAGAAAGAAAGTAAGTAAGTAAGAGATAGATATTATTGTAAAATTCTTAATTATCAATGGCAACTATATCAAAAGAAAGTCTAGCACAATTTTGGTTAAATACATTTCCAGTATCATATAATTATGAATATATATCATTTTCGGATACGACAATTGTTCAAAATCTTTTAGAATTTATTTCGGATAAAAATGAAGATCAGAAAATTTTTAATATTATTAATAATTATATTCAAGAAATAAAATCGAATAAAATTATTAAAACAATCATACCTGAAAAAATTTCTTCTAAACGTCAACGATCAACAAAAAATACTTTAATAAATAATATTGATTCAAATCATTTACGATTTACTGTTCATATTGATGTTATAGAAAATATAGATTATGATGATGCTGATATGTCAACAATAAATGATACAAAAATTGAAGGTATGAATTAAGATTGTAAAAGAATAAAATTAATTATAAAAAGAAATGATTGGAATGAATTTTATTAAATGAACATACAGAAATATCTGCTATTTTAAGATTATTTACTATTGTTACAATAAGCAGTTTATTAATTTCAGAGAACGAATTATCAGAATATTTTAGATTTGATAGATCTTGATGAATAGAACTAAAGGAGATTTCGAAATCGCAAATATTAAAAATCACTTCATTTTCTTAGTTATAATACATCTGATAGAGTTGAAAATTTTTTTGCGCAAATACTGGACACTCTTCTTTCATTCGAATGAAAAGATTAAAATACTGAGTTCACTCTCAAAAATCCATATTTTTCTAAGTGAAGCCTTTTATTATAAACTTTCGCGAATAGCAGCGGTACATTATATTTTGAAACAAAAAAAAAAAATAAAAGTAGGCACCAAAACATTTTTCAGTGTAAGCTAGAGCCCGTCGGATCCAAGTACGATGATAACTTAGTTTCAATAATATATTCAAAAAGTGTTTTATTGTTTTTTATGTCTATTTTCTAAATACATTCAATTTTTTTTTCTACATAAAGTGAACAAAATTTTGAAAAAATTTACAACACATTGTATGCATCAAAGTTTTCTACAGAACTGGATTCGGGCTCTACCGCCGAGTTCAAAACCTTTGAATCCTACTTTCATACTCTCAATGAAATTTTCCAATCAGAATTGGATTGTCTCCTCGAAGATAGGCGATACTTTTTTTTTCGGGTTTTTGTATTCGATGACTAGCGCGCACCATTCACATTTTTCAGACGATTAGAGCTCGATCGGATGCATTGTAGTTGAGAAACTGAGGCGATTTTCAACTTTTTTGTCTCAATCAAAAAACATCGTAGAAAGCTCGGAGATGTTTCATTTTCTAGAGAATTGTTTATTCTATGTAATTTTAAACAAAATTATATTTTTCGCTCATTCTAGTTAACGAAAAAAAAAATGTAGTTTTGGTTTTCTTGGAGATATGTAAATCATTCTGATTGGAAATAATTTTCTCTATTTGAATTCTTTTTAGTATTTACGATCCATTGCAAAAACAAGTCTTTTCATCACCTTTGGGCATATACCTTATAATTAATGTTTTGTTTTCTTTTTTTGTAATAATTTAGATCGTACAATAGAAAATTTATCATCAATTCTCAATGAAACAGATTCGAATATTATTTCAAAACGTTTTCATTCATTAATTTATCCATGGCTTATTGATGTTTCATTTAATATTTCTAATGATATTTTTTCAATTATAGTTGAATTAATGAATAAATATTCCGAAGAATTTTTTCTTCAATGTTTTATTCCATGGCTTAATAATATTTCAATAGATAATATGAATTTATTTCTTTCAAATCTTTTTACTCAATTAATAAATTTATCTGATCGTTGTAAATTATGTACATATTTATGTCAAAATAGTACATCTCCATTTAATGATAATGAATTATGTATAATAAGTAAATGGTTTGATAGTAAAGAATTTTATTTTTCAAATGATTTATTAAATATTTTACCTGAAAAAATTGCAATATCAGCAAAAATTTTTTCAGATAATTTATCATTTGCTAAAATTCTACATAAAATTTTAATTAAATGTATAGAAAATAATCATATTATAACTAATGAACAACGTTTAATATTTAAACAAGCTATTATAATAAATACAACAATACTTAGTGATATTCTTATGGATTTACTTGATTGATTTATTTTTTAGATAAATAAAATTATGTATTCAAAAAAAAAAAGGACATTTTCAACTAATGAATAATTATCAATCAAAATTTCTTTCGAATGTAATTGTAAGATTGATATATTTTTTTAGATTATTTATTTTTCAGAATATACAATTGAACTTCATAATATTCATTTTAGTACAAAATCGTAATACGATAAATTGTTTTAATCACTTCACATTGAATATACATTCTTGTATTCTATACTACGTAATCAGATCTCTTCTTAATCGTTGAATGAAGATTATATTTATTTAGGATTTTTGAAAAGTACAGTTAAGAACTCCTGCGTAGAGTTCGTCGAGCCCAAAAATTTTGGACTAGGACTCACAAGGGAAGATCACCAACTGTTCAATCGTTTTTGAGTCGGAACTATGTGCATCATGTGAGTCCTAATGAGCTATGAATATCCCGAAAAGAGGTCGGGTCGCTAGCTTATTACTGTCGAGATACTGCATTTTTACGATATTGTTAAGCAGAATCCCGTGGTCCCCTTCAGAAGCACTAGCAAAACTGAGTTTTGAATTTCGACTTGAAATTTGACACAGAAACAGATCTTCATGAGAGTAGCTCATTGTAAAAGTTTCAGATCTTTTGGTTGTTCCTATTCTGAAATAAGAATATTGGAACCTGTCGGTGGTCGTAGCTTCTCAAAAGAGATACTTTTTAATTAAACATTTTGCTATTTAAAGAAAGCTTTAGCTATTTAAAATTCTCAAAAGAGATAATTTTTAATGAAATGTCGCTATTTAAAGAAAACTTTAGCTATTTAAAAGTTTTGATACTGGTTTTTTCATAGTTAGCTAGCAGTTTAAACAAAACAGCAGTGACACTGAATTATTTAAATAGCTGCGTGGCTCATTGTTTTGCGTTCTGGTTTTTTGAATTCATCCTCACATCAACCAAGCAACCCCTCTGCTCGTGGTTTATTTTGTTTTTTTCGAAATAAAAGATATTAGATGATAAAAAGATAAAATAAAAAAAACGAATTCATCCTCACATCAACCAAATAACCCTCTGCTCGTGATTTATTTTCTTTTTTTTTGAAGTAAAAGATATTGGATGATAAAAAGATGAAATAAAAAAAAAGAATCCATCCTGATATCAACCAAACACAAACCCCTGATCGTAGTTTATTTTTTTTTCAAAGTAAAAGATATTAAATGATAGAAAGATCACATTAAAAAAACGAATTCACTCTCACTCAACCAAACAAACCTCTGCTCGTGGTTCATTTTGCTTTTTTTTTTATTAAAGTAAAGGATATTAGATGATAAAAAGATGAAATAAGGAAAAAACGAATTCATCCTCATATCAACCAAACAAGCCCTGTTCTGAAGAATCAGCAAGGTAGGATGAATATTTGAGCAAAATATCTACTAGTGATGATAACGTAGTATTCTTTTTGATGCTTATAAGAATAAACATATAATTGTCAGTATTTTTTATTGTTAGAAATCGCAGACTATGATTTAGATTTTTTTTCTTTTCTATCGCAATTTTAAATAGTTGCAAGATATTTAGATAGCAATGATAGGATTAAATAGGCAAATGAATAATTAAATTGCTATGCAAATCATTAAATAGCTATGGCAAGTTTAAATAACTACAAGATCTTTAGATAGCTATGATAGCATGAAATAGCCATGTAAATGATTAAATAGCCGTGCAAGTCATTAGATAGCTAAAGCAACTTTAAATAGCTATAGGATCTTTAAATAGCTGCGATAAGATTAAATAGCCATGTGAAAGATTAAATAGCTATAGCAACTTTAAGTAGCTAGAAGATCTCTAGATAGCTATGATAAGTTTAAATAGCCATGTAAAAGACTAAATAGCTATACAAATGATTGAATAGCTATGGCATGTTTAAATAGCTACAAGGTCTTTAGGTCGCTATGACAGTATTAAATAGCTATGACAATGATCAGTAGTTAGACTAGAAAATCATTGAACAAGTTTCTCTTCGAAGTCATTTGATGCTAATTATATACAAAAAGAAATTGTATCTCTTTTGAGAATGAGCCGTCGGTGGTATACGAGCATTGTAAAAACACGCTTTTTAGCTGTATCTTAGGAATAAGAACAACTAAAAGACCTGAAACTTTCACAATAAACTACTCTTATTGAGGCTTGTTTCTATGCAAAGTTTCAAGTCAAAATTTGAAACTCAGTTTTTCTGGTTCCTGAGGGGACCACAGCATTGTGCTTTATTAAAAATACCACAAAAATGCAGAATATCGAGAATAATAAGCTAGCGATCCGAACTTTTTTCAGGGTATTCATAGCTCATTAGGACCTACGCGGTGCACATAGTTTCGACTCAAAAAGTAATTGAACAGTTGATGCCCTTCCCTCGTCAATTAACAGAAAAATTTCACACTCGGATCCGACCGAAGAGCTCTACTTCTCCCTCTCTCCCAATATTGGGCACTTCTGCAGAACGGTTCATCATAAAAATTTAGGGAGACTTTGGGGTTGCAAAGACGAAAACTCGCCAAGCTTTCTCAGCTGTAATACGTCTGCTAGAGTTCAATTTTTTTACAATTATTGAACACTCTTAGTTTTATTGAAAAACGTGAGCCATTCTCAACTCTTTTTTGCAAAACAATGAAATAGGGAGTAAGCTTTGATGGTTGTCAGCGAAAATGTTTCATTTTTTTTTGCTTGAAATATGTAACCAATAGGTAAAGAATACTTCAAAGTGTATATAGAGTAGAGAAAAAAAATGAAAAATCTACAAAAAATTTTCGGTCGAGAAATAAAGATAGTTCCCTTAATCAAATTTATTAAGATCACTAGAATTAGTACAGTTCGTTTGATTTAAATTATTTATTTGATTATCTCAAGAGAGAGGAAGTTGTTCTTCGTCAATGAATGTTGAAAATGATGACGAGTGAAGATAAGAATAAAGATAAAAAGCATACGCTTCAATAACGAACCAATTCAATTACTATTTGATTAAAATAAAATAAGTCTTGATGATCTTCTAGATGAACTTATTGTGTTAGTTGAAACAAACAAATGATCGTTTCTTGTTAAAATTTTTACGATTTTTCTATTTCAGATAATAATGTTACTCGTAACATTATATTCAGTATTTATCATTTCATGTCATGCCGGTATTTTACCGACAGGAACACAAAATGATCATAAATCACGTGTACTTGATTTAGTTAGTAATCATTTTTTGTATTTTTAAATTTATATTAATCTATTGAATTTCAATTCTTTAGCCATTAAGTCAACAAGAACATTATACTGATTTGAATAAAGATCAAACAGTAGAACATAATACTGCTTATGATCATGAAGCATTTTTAGGTGTTGATGAAGCAAAAAAATTTGAAAAATTATCTGTTGAAGAAAGCAAAAAACGTCTTGGGTAAGAAATGAAAAATGAATATTTTTCTTTTTTTTTTTTTTTTAAGAAAAATTTATGTTAATATAAATTTTAGTGCTCTATTTAATCGTATTGATAAAGATCATAATGGTACAATAACAAAACAAGAATTAAAAGATTGGATAAAATCTGTTCAAACACGTTATATTACTGAAGATGTTGAACGACAATGGAAACAAATGAATAATGATTCAAATAATGAAATCTCATGGGATGAATATGATAAAACAACATATTATGCTTTATGTAAGTTTATTATAATATTACTTAGGATATATCAAGAATAGTGACGAAAGTATTTTAATACTTTATCTATAATATTTGATCATTGTTCAACTAATATTATAATAATAAAGTTTCGATATAAAAATTATTGCCAGTAAAAGAAAAAAGAAATACGAAAACAAGTTCATGAAGTCTTTATTTCATTAAATATTTGAAATAACCGTACATAGAAATATACACTGCCCCAGCCTCGTTTCTAACTTGTCCACCATGCTCCCGAGCCTTAGTCATATCAGTGTACACAAATTTAACTACAAAGCTAAGAGATGGAGACGAATACTCTATAAGTATATATGTCCGATTGCATCTTGCCTAATTAATTATGCTTTCAATGTATTTTCGCGAAATTTTTTTTTTCAGTTACCTAAGTGCGGTCACGTAGCCGCACTGTTGCTTCGCGCTTGCCGAATAAGGAGAGCGCGAAGCGGTTACTTTTAAGGTATGGTACACATCTTTGATCGTCCTGGTTATTTACAACCAATTGCATTCGTTAAATCCATTTATCGAACGTTTTTTCAACAATTTGTAATCGGTTAGATCATTTTAGTACATATGGTATTAAAATAAGCAAACGAATATGATTTCACAATAATAAATCTCATTTTTCTCAACACAGAAATCAACTATAAAAATATCTGATCGGACATAAGTTTATTCTCATATAGAATTTTAAAACAAAAAAAAACATCTTGCACCGAGTGGGAGAAGTTTCAATTTTCCCAATTGAAAACCATGTTCTTAAAAAAACGGTGAACAGATCTAGGCATAGATTTTTGTCATTCAAATTCAGAATTAAATAAAACATATTTAAGTGAAATTTTTAGAAGCATATAACAGATGATGTAACTTAGTACCGCCTATCATACTTAAATTATATAAGAATATCTGCTCAATCAGAATGTTATCTAATATTATCATCACAGATTATAATAAACAGTTCTTATCTAAATTTTATTATTAAAATATTAGTTCGAGAATGATCAAAAGTTACAGAAATGTAGAATTTTATTTTTTTTTTACTATCAGATCATTTAGAGAGAAAGGTTATTTTAAACTTTTTATAATGATTTACAGTATATCAGCTAGTACTTGACATGTCCAAAATAAAATTGAATAATAATTAATGAGAAAGCTCGCAGGAAAATGTCACATCCATTTTTTTTTCGTCAACTAACATATGTTCCTGACAAGTCAAACATGTCTATTTTCAGAATCTATTGGGAAATTACTTTTCTAATTGTATATTGAGAAAAGGAAAAGTTCTCTCATAACGAGTACATC